ATAATTATCATTTTTACAATGGTTTTTTTCTGGTACTGAAAGAGCTCGACGTTGTCGCGAAAAGAAAGAAAAAGGTGGTTTGAGCGAGATCGTGAAACAAAAAGATCGTACGCGTAAACAATTAGCTCGTTCAAATATGTCATCATCTGAACTGACAGCACTACGCCTTCGTCAACACGTCAATCTTCGAAAGTTTCGTTCGAAAACAAAGACGGATCTAACTTTTGCAGCAACACCTGTATCATCCTTTTCTAGAAAACAATCAAAGAGTAAAGCCTTAAACAAAATAATGAATGCATTACCGATCAATAAGAATAAACAATGTGAATTAATTCAAAAAATTGCTGAAGATTTGCATCTTTTGAAAATAGATAAGAAATATGAACGTGGTCAACGATCCGTATCAAGAAATACAAAGAATATCATTCATGAATTTTATTGTCGTGATGACAATAGTTATTAAGCACCAGGAAAACGCGATTTCACTATCGTTCGAAAAAATGGCATAAAACAAAAGTTACAAAAACGTTATTTATTATATAGCTTACGTGAATTGTACCAAATGCTCATTGAAGAGCATCCAAGTATTAAAATTAGTTTAGCTAGTTTTCAAGATTTAAGACCACCTAATATTTGTTACAAGTCATCAACTCCACATAATGTTTGTGTTTGTTATTATCACGAAAACGTTGCTCTACTTTTAAAATCATTGAATGAGCATATACATGGATTGAAATCAATAGATATTAATTCATTTATTAAATTAATTGTCTGTGATGATGCTCGTGAATCATGTATGTTTCGTGAATGCAACGACTGCAGCCATCATTTTAAACGTAAAATTGAAGATCAAATTATAAATTCAACGTTATTAATTAAATGGACATTATGGTCAACCTCATTAGATGGTAGAGCAACAAAAGTCGATTATGAAGGATCGGTTTTGGATTGCATAAAAATTTTATGCGATAAAATTAAACCATTTTTATTTCATGCATTCGTAAAA